CAGGGTGGCGAGGCTTGGTGCCACCACCAGGAACCCCACACCACCATTGCGAGACACCCCTTGTCTACCAGGCAGCAGCAGGAATGGTGGCACATGCCATCATTGTCTGATCGCCCCCCAGCCCCTTGCAGACTGGAACTCTGCCAGCCTGCAAGGAGGAACCTGCCATTTCCTGTGTTTTTCTCCTTAAAAAGTGAGCACCTGGGTTTTTCTCCTTAAAATGAGAAAATCTGAACTAACTGCTTCAAAGACTACACTCCTTCCAGGTCCCTCAAGCATCTTACTTCATCATCCACTCATGGCAAACCATCCCCCTGGCTGTCACAGAGCCTTCTCGCTCACACTGGGTTACATTTGCCACGGCATTTTTAAACTTACTTTTCACTCCCTTCACTACACAAAGTGAAAGGTAGTAGAGAATCAGGGTTGGCATTTCCAAAAGTACCCTCCCAGCACATGTCACAGTAATTAAAGTCCCCCATGAGAACCAGATCCTATAAATGGTGTCAGTGGTGTACAAGCTGAGCTAGCTCCCCATCCTTTACATTTTCAACATGTCTATTTTCGTAAAGAACTGGGGGTCAGATTCTGATCTTGGGGGGGAAGGGGGGGAATCAAATGAAATGGATTCATTTTCAGCATGCTTATATATTTGAACCTAGCCCTACAAGTAGTTGTTACCTAGAGGCAGTCAAACAGAGTGGCCTCTCTCAAATGGGCACTTATTTTCAAGTACCTTAAAAGCGCTCAAAAAGAAAAATATTAAATAAGTATATGGAGATTGTGGAGCCTTCCTAACCCTGATGAACACCTAGTCAAGCCAGTAGTGTCACTGAAGCTGAAAGGACTAATCACATGAACAGGAGACCCAAAATCTGCCCTACACTAGAAAACCATAAAGGCCCAGGCAGCTGCAAAGCACCCAGGCACTGCTTGTTGTTGCTAGGAGTTGTTTTAATGAGCCTGTTTTTGTTAGATAAGAGCAGTAATCTTGCCTATGTATTAGAAAGACAGACTAACAAATTGCAGCTAAATTGACTCTATTATATGAATTACCATCGCTCAAGCTAACAATTCACTATCTATTCTGTGCAGTCAAGTGAAATTTGTGGTGACTACAGACAGAATAAAATGCGGTTTTGCATCAGGCAGTATTAAAACTGTGCAGGCTGCCACATACCTGGAACTACAAACACACAAATCCTTGGATCTTTCACTGAGAGTTGTGCTCTTTTTCAGGTGATCAGCATTCAAATCCTTCAGGAGCACCTGAACGAGGGGTAAAAATAGCCAATTATAATTTTTCCAAGTAGAGTAACAAAGCAGAAGAGAATATGCACGGGCTATGAGCACATACCCCCACTGGAGAGTGGTACATTCCATGTTTACCCATGCCTTTAGGTGAGATGGAGTGGGAGAAGCTCGTACCATCTGGCATTAAAACATTTTTCAAACCTCAGTCTTTTAACAAATATTTCATAGTTAATCCTTCTACAGTTTTGAGGATCTAGATAGGCAAAAAGTGGTTGTATAACAGGCTTTGCACTTGCTTTGATTTCATTTCCATGTTTGTTTTGTTGTAGATAAGAATGGATGAGATCATTTAACATTTCAGGCAGCTTCAGGAATGCATCTTGGTCATTTGATTTTGTTTCGTTGCAGCTTGGCCTGCAATCAGTTTGTTCAGAAATTGGGGGGGGAGGTGGGGGGAAGGGGGGAATAATTATGCAAAAAAACCCCCTAAGAACATTTCTGACAGTTTCTCTCATTTGGACAAGTTGCCCTACAGAACAAATCAACGTACCCATACTAAGCATTTTTTTTTTTTTTTTTACCAACTCTAGGCCTGATTTTGCTTTTACACTACAGTAACTATAGTTACTATGGGTCAGTGCTGTCTGGTATCAGAATAAACCCTGGTTGAACAGCATATCAACATCATTTGCATTCTGTAAACTAAATCAGAAAGGAAAGTGAGCATTCTTGAAATGTTTGTAAACAGCTTGCAAAAGGGAAGTGCATGCTGCTACACTAGTATTTGTTGTTGCTAAATGCTAGCAAGATACAGAAGGCATTAGCTTTTCCTTCTAAGAAATCTAGAGAAAGTTATTTTAAGCCTGAACTTATCCTGAAAGCATTCATACTTACATGCATACAATCTGTGATTTACGGGGCCAGCTGGTTTCAGTTTCTGGGAGTGTTGCTACAAGGGGCAGGAAGTGGACTCTGTGAAATCAGACACTTTTTTAAAAAAAGATTTTATCTCCACCCACAAAGAGTCAAGCGTTTTGGCATACAGCTAGCGTAGTATTCTCCCTCAAGAATAAAATAAAGAGATAATGCAACACTTAATGTGGCTTACCACAGAAATCCAAACTCTGCTCTCTGTTTCAATGGTGCAAAAACAGAGTAGACCTGATGTATAGGATTAGGGTGTAATGAAGAACAGGATTTGGCCCCTAGATTTTAAACAGGAATTTCATGAAGAGTGCTAATTTTGCTAATCTTGCTTTTCAAAGAGAATACTGGGTTTTCTTTGGGTTAATGACAATGTTATTCTTACTTTTCATAGAAATCATAAAGCACTAGGGCTGGAAGGGACCTCCATAGGTCAGCCCTGTGCCTGAGGCAGGATCATCCCTGTCCAAACCATCCTATACAAATCCAGAATCTAACCTCTTAGTAAAACTATCATCAACCCTGACGTAACACAATATAACACCCCAGCCTGCCCCAGGTAAAGCAAGAGGACCATGGCAGCCAACATTTTTAATATACACCAAAGAGCGGTTATCACATGAAAGAGCCCCTGGAATTTCTTGTGATTCCATCATCAGAGCTGTAGTCAGCATTTGGTTTCAAAAGGAGTCTGCCTGAATAGTATCTGGTAAAAAACAAGCAAGGCTATCAGATTTGGACCGGTGACAAGTGCTGAGAAACTTCATAAGCTCAACACTCTTAAAGAGAGCTTGGTGTGTTTCTCTATCCACTTCTTTAGTTTTGTTGTTGGAACGTTTTATCTAGAAAACTACCCAAATCACAACCCCCTCCCCCACTCCACCAGTAAATTCAATGGGAGGATGCTGGTCCTGAAACTGGGATGCAAGCCAGGAGCTAACAGAGCCCACCTTTCTTCAGTGAGCTGCAACAGAGCTCTAATGTGAACCACCACTTCTGGGGAGGAGGAAGGGGAAGGGAAAAGGAGAGTTCAAAAATGTAGATCTAAGCCCAGGTGCAATGTCACTATGCAGCCAACTACACTTTCAAGTGCAAATAGTTTCTACTTACCTTTTTCTAATCCTCTAGGATTTTTTTTTTAAATATCAAACTGAATATACTGGGGGCACAGAGCCATCACTGGGTCACAGCCACATGCAGAGGCATAGCAAACAATTTCAAAATCTACACACACAGTATGTAATCCATTGCCTCCTACTGGTTTATACCTGTTATCTCCCAAAACAGATATGGCATTGCACACGATATGACCACTAACACAGTGGGTTCATTTAGGCATAGAGACAGTGTGTTAATAAAAGCCTGGATGAAAAACAGAAGAAAGATACCAGTTGTGCTGTAAGAAATGTTGTCCCTTGCAAATGAAAATGATTTGCCATGATATTTGCAGCAAATGGTCATAGTCTTGTACAGCATTATTTACATTTTGCTTATATAAATTTATTGCTGCAGCATTGTTTGCTTTCTAATTTTTCTCTCCACGATTTATAGAGCTGACCCTTTATGGGTACAGTTACAAAGGGGGAACATTTTCAAAACTGCTTAAGTCACTTTTAAGTTTAACTCTCATAGACATTCAGGCACTCAAGCACTTCTGAAAAAATGCACCCCACATCTTTTATCACCCTGTATTCAAGTGTTCATAGCCTTACAAAGCATTTTTGTGTTCCATGCTTGAAAGTTTCCATGGCTTGTGTCTTCCTTCTGAAAAGTTCAACCAAAAAAACCCATTTTTGCCACCAGCAAGTTCCCATTGAAAACATGGTGATAATAATAGTCACCATGTCTTCAAAGACAAAGTGACAAAGAAAGTGGCTATAATTTGCCACTTGATCTGAACATCATCCTGAGGGAGAACTAAAGCACGTGCTTGTCTTGGGGGACTGTAATTTTAAAAATGTAAAAGTTATAAGGCATGGAACAAATCACTTGCAAGCATGTTTACTGGGTCCTTGCTAGGCACAGCAGACCTTTGTCTGAGGATCAATGAAGATCTTTATGAGATCACAGCATATTCATCCTTTTTCGTCAGGGAAGTATGCTGACCATGAATGGATATGGCTAGTACTAAGGAACTTAAGCAAAGGCAAATGATCTTTTATACAGTCCATGGGCCAGATCTGGCCGGGGAGCAGCAGGGAAGCAGAAGAGAAGTTCAGCAGAAAGGAGTGGCAGCAGGGAGGGGAGCAGTAGCAGCATTAATTGCTGCTCCCCTGCTACCAAATTTCCTGACCTGTGTGGGTCCCAATGGGCTGGATAACATGGCCCAGAAGGCTAGTTTGCACTGGCACATGGCCGGATCTAAGCACGTGGTATCAGGCTAGCATGCTGGATCACACCTGCAGACCGACCCTTTGTGCTAACCCTGCACCATTCTTTCAGCCTAGAAAGCTGGGTGCCACAGCCACTGCTCTACAGCTTTGTTTTAAATACCAGGGGATGGGGGGGAAGAAAAGATAGGAATGAACAAAATTGCAAATCCCACAATTTTAGGCACTCCTCCATTTTTTTAAGTTCACTCTTATACAATACATCCTCCTGTATGCTGCAAATCTTAACATTTCATTCAAACCATAAATTTGGAATGCTGAAATTCATAAAGCACAGGCAATAAGGTGGGCGGGGGGAAGGTAAATGGAAATAAAAATGTTCTCATATAGTAACAAAGAGTGCATAGTTACAATTATAAATAGTGTAGAAATGGCAACTGTGAATGCTTGCAGAGAAAACAATATGCTACATTTTTTCTATGTGCTCATACATCATCCTTTGCAAAGTAGCTTAATTGAATTTTTTAAAGCCACAGTATATTTCACAATGAGCCTGTAGAAATGTAATCAGTTATGGGTGTTTTTGTAAACCCTCTAGTCAGAAAAAGGAAATGAAAGAGCACAGGAGATCAGGAGATTTTCCCAATTGTATCATCTTGCAGTTCAACTCGGTAATCTTAACATTACTTTATTTGCCATGAACATGCAGTGTATTTGGCTCTCCCAGCAGAAAGTCTTGTATGCCTACTGCCAATTTGCATAATACACCTTTAGCTCTTGGGTCAACAGCTTTAATTTCATAATAGAAAGATACCCAACTCTTTACCCCCAGTTTCCAACTGGTTTGTAAGAAAATGTCTTTGGTTGCTATTTACATGCATTCCACTTCCTTAATTTTGAGTTAAAATGCCAGACTTCCCCTATCTGTAAGATTTATAGTGTCTCAGCTTGAAACCATAAATCAGCACAGGTGCACAGACTTTTCAACAAACAGAGTAAATCCAAGGCCTACTGAATCACTGGTAGTTTTGCCTTTGATTTTAATAGAACCAGTATTTCACTTACAGTGAGATTACAAAGAGACCCTAAACTGGTTTTCTATCATTTATTGCTTCAGAACGAGGCAAGATTTCTTAGGGTGGTATATTTTATTGAACGTATGTAGCTGAGATACAGTTAGACAAGCTTTAAATTCACAGACTTATAGAATCAAAGAGAAGTAGGACTGGAAGGGACCTCCAGAGGTCGTTCAGTCCAGACATCCTTCCTCAGATCTCATATAATTTCTAGACTGTCATGGCTACAACATCACCCTTACACTACCAAACATGTTTTCTACAAGTACTTATTACTCCCACATATAATAAAGAGCCAAATCCTGCCTGCAGCCCCCCTGGAGGAATACCATTGGAAGTTAGCCACGTTGCACAAGTGTAATGAAATAAGAGACGGGCATGTAGCTTGGGCCAGAGTCACTGGTACCTGCTTTTTTCACCACTCTGAAAACCTGGCATCATAACAGCCAGGCAACTGAGCCAAAATCTGTAAATGCATGTGGCTATTATTTTTTCCTTTAAAAAAATGCCAACAACAAAAAAGTGTTCCAAATGCCAGATGCTACATATGGTGGAAACATAGGTTTAGCAAGTGAAAAATAAAAATAAATGCATTTGGTGTTTTGTGTGTCTTTATGTGTAAAAGATGTTCCCACAAATGTTTTTCCTTGATATCCGATGGAGCCAGAGTTTGTATTGCGTAAGCCAAATTTTCAATATTTGCTGGGGAGTTGAGGCTCGATTCTGTGCTGTGCCAGGACTACTGGGCTGCTGCGATGAACCCTGTGATAATTTAGAAGGAAATTTAATGAGCAGCCAAAAATTCCCATAGCTTTCAAAGCTACCAGCATGCCTTCTATCCAAAGGCTTGTGAAGGCACTGAAGGGCTTTTTTAAAATTCAGTAACCATTCTTTGAAACAGGGTTGTAGTGACTGGAGCAAAGACATTTCTGGTTGTACTCATGGTTCTAGTAATGCATAGTTAAACCAGTCAACCTCTGTGCCTTGCTGTTCCTATTTGTAAAATGGGAATAACACCACAAATCAACTTGCTAATGCTTAGGAATGTTGGGAGGCTTGAATGATTAATTTAATCAATGTAGCAAAGTGATTCAGAAATGAAAAGCACTATCTAAATATGAGTATTGTTAACAAAAAGGCTGAAACATACAGGCCATTTGGGATCAACTGGTAGTTACGCGTGAAGAAAAGAGAGATCATAAGCATAAAGGTGTATGATACTGATTTTATCGCAGAATTACAGAGTCCTGAAAAAGCCCATTGGATGTATGCATCAAACTGAAGTGACATTTTGGCTAAGTCTGAGAAACATCCCTTCGGTATGGTAGCTGCAGACTGGAATCACTTCAAAGAAAACAAGGAGCTGGGGGGGAACAGGGAAGATGATGGGTTGTTCAGTGTTTTGAGCATATTAATAAAGACCAAAAATACAAAGAATGCCAGCCAGACCTGGGGAAACATCATAGGAAGGTGAAGATAATCAAGAGACAGTGTGAGTCCTGAAGGCTTTAGAACAAAGGCCCAACTCGGAGATTTCTACCTTGTCACCAAACTCAAAGCATTCATAGATGGGCCAAATATCCATGCCCACCGTTTGATCAACTTATTTGGCTCTCCTCTGACTGATTTAATCTTACTCAGTCAGCCTGATAAAAGGAGAAACTAG